TTTTTTTTTATCTTTTTGGCAAGTAAGATATAAAAATCTCAAAAATTCAGAGAACACAGGTGAAGATGATGGAATGAAATGAAATCACTAATAATAGCTTGTATATCCTGTTTTTTTGTGTTCACATGTTATGTATATTACAAATATGTGTTAAAATTTTCTGAGGTTATACTGTGTGTATTTTTCAACCGGCTGTTTTATGTAGTGTGTCTTTGAGATCTATGTTATGTCCTATTAACTCCCTGTAAAAGGACCCCTTTTCTCATTACAACAGCATTTTCTTCTATGACATCCTCAACCTTCCTAATATTTTAAATATTTTAAAAAAAAGTCACAAGATTTCATTACTTCTTATAAAACATACCCTTAATACAATTCCTCCCCCATTGATTGTCCTAGACCTGTCATTTCTATGGCTGTTCCCAAGTAATGTACAGCAAGGATGTTGGAGCAGTGTCCTTTGACCATTTAATAACTTCGACCCACCTCATGACTTCACTGCTCCAAACTACAGTTTTTCTCTGTTATTTTTTCCTCTTTCCTTTTGCCACTGCTTTTAAACTTTGCACACAAAGTAATACATTCACCTCAGTAAAGAAAATTATATCCAAAGGCTTGAAATACAAACCCGTCTCCCTGGTCTGCTGCTCCTCATGCCCTAGCATGGCTTCTGTAAGGCACTCGGTTTTAATCCGTTCACCTGTTTGCCTAATGGTGTTTGCCTTCATATTTCCAAATAACACTCATGCAGCTACTTCTTTGCTTTTTTTTTTCTGAGAATAAATGCATTCACATCATTAAGAAAAGAAGCATTAAAAGATGCACAATGTTACTTATCAATTACACCTAAAAAAGCCGGGGAAAAAAATGTTCCCTGAGGATTTTGGACAAGCTGGAGAAAAGCAGGAAACAGATTATAAGTAGCAAAGAAAAGGTTTCCAAACGTTCTATATGTTGTTGTTTATTTGTTTTTTATTGAAGTATAGTCAGTTACGATGTGTCAATTTTTGGTGTACAGCATAGTGCCCCAGTCATGCATACACATAAATAGGTTCGTTTTTATATTCTAATGAAAAGATGATTACAAGATACTGAATATAGTTCCCTATGCTGTACAGAATAATCTATTTTTAGATTTTAAATTAAATTTCAAATTAATCAAGTTTTTAAATTAAATTTTAAATTTAAAAATCTATTTTTATATGTAGTGGTTAACATTTACAAATCTCAAACTCCCAAGTTTATCCCTTCCCACCCGCTTTCCCCCAGTAACCGTAAGATTGTTTGCTATGTCTGCGAGTCTGTTTCTGTTTTGTAGATGAGTTCATTAGTGTCTTTTTCCTTTTTTTTTCCCTTTTTAGATTCCACATATGAGTGATATATGGTATTTTTCTTTCTCCTTCTGGCTTAGTTCACCAGGTCCATCTGTGTTGCTGCCTATATGTTTTTTAATGATTAAAGTTTTACTATAAAAATAAAAACAAATAAAAAGGTACACGATGAAAACTTTCTTTCATGTCCCTCCCTCCGCTCTACCCAGGTTCTGGTCATTTTCTATCACAAGCCATCTGTGATGAGTAAATCTTGAACAAATATCATTTCACAACTATGCCAGGAAATCCAAAGAATAAAACCCCCAGGCTGCAATGCTGAGTGCACACATTTGTGATTTTGATACATAATTGTCAAAATGTCCTTTCAGGGGAGAGGGTGATACCAGTTTACACTCACTAGTCATGTATGTTGCCAGGCTTTGGGTTTTTGCCAGTGTAACAGGTAGAAAATGGTACCTTAGTCTAGTTTTAATTTGAATTTACTGTATTATGATACACTGTTATTTTTTAGTTTATCAATATTTGACAGCTTCTGCTGACTTCTTTATATCGCAGTTTAGGATCTAGCACTTTTATGTTATTTCCCCCAACATGCCCGTCTTCCTGAGAATTTACGTCGGTCACATCCGTGATTAATGCTTGTGCTGCTCTGACTTCATAATTCTCATTCCTGCAGAGTCAAGCAGTATACTATGATTGCAGTCCCTCTGTTTGTTCTTTTTCTTTTCTAAAACTGAACTCTTGCTTTTAAAATATATTTCATTTGGTTTTTTTTTCCTTTCCATTCTCTTTTATAGAGTTTTGGTTGATTTGGTTAATTACTGTTTTCTTTTATGTTTGAGCAGTTGATTCAGCTTAATTGTTTGACTTCTTTGCTCACTGCTGATTCTTGTATATCATCTTTTTCTTGAAGTAATTTTAGAAGTTTTCTACAATACCTTGCTGAATAATTGTTTCAGTAATTGTTTAAATCCATTCTTATCTACAATAGTATCTGTTCCCCCCACTGAAATGGTTGATTGGCTGGGTATAGACTAGAATGCTAATTTCGCAATCACTTTACCTCCAAAATTAGAAGATACTGCTCAGTTATCTTCAGGTATACGATATTGCTGTTTGGTAGTTCAGTGTCAATATATTCTCTTGTATTTGCACATAACCTGGCTTTTCTGTCTGGTTGCTTTTACCATTTTCTAGGGTTTTTTTTTTTTTCCCTTGACTTCCTAAGGTTTTATATACAATTTTTAGCATTCAGTGAGCCCTGAATCTTGAATCCTAGGAAGCATTTTTTTTCTTCTGGTAGCTCTCTGATCATTTCTTTCCATTCATTCTACCTCTGCTGTATTCATAGAACTCCTAAAGATGGGCTTTTACGTTTATCTTCCCATCTGTCTATCCTTTTACTCTGCATTTCGAGAGAAGCCCTCAATCTTCCATCTTAGTGGTATCTTCATTTTGCTATTCAGCCCACCTAGATTGCAGCCCTTAGAATCAGACTGCCTGACACTTAGTAGCTACGACACAAGTTACTTAATCATTTAGCCTTGGTTTCCTCCAGTGTGGAATGGGTGTCCTCATAGTTCTCCTCACACAGGATTGTGCAGCCAGTGCCTGAGTGCTTCAGAAGGGCACAGTAGGCCTTAATTTGTATGATTATCATCTTTTCAATCCTTTTATTAATTTAGAAGAATTCTGATTATGCTTCATAGCAATGTATTTTATATTTTATTATTAGATTGCACTGTTTTTTAGATGTAACAGCCTCTCAGACTTCTCTGGGATTTTCATTATGAACCTTTTAAATTCTGTTTCCTCTGCTTACTGTTTCTTGAGTTTGTGCCTCTCTTTATTGCTCTTAGTTTTCTACCTTTTTTTTTTTTGCACCTTATTTTTTTTAATCATCGCATTTTTTTTGAAAGTCTTATTTTCATAGTATGATACTGGAGTGTGCATCCTCAGCTGATGCTCAGCCCTCTTTGCTGCACAGGTGTTCTGCTCACAGGGGAAAACCTCAGCTGACTGGGCTTGGACGGATCTAAAAAGAATCTAGATGGTGAGTGATGTACACGCCTTTTTTGAGGTTGTCTCTTCGGGCCAGTAAGTTATCTGGGGCACCCTACTTCCATCTCCAGCTCTGGGGTACCTCCCCCCAATTCCCAGGCTGCCTTGAGGCTTTATCCTGGGTGCATGTGGAGCCAGTTGTTTCTTTTTGTACCTCAGTCACATCGTTGTGCAAGTACAGGATTACCTCAACTTCTTCTCTCTTCAGCCCAAATAATACTATTAAGAGTCCTTCTTTGGAAGACTGTTTATTTTGTTCTTGAAGCTTTATGTGGGGCCACTACTCAGCCACCCCTTATTTCGTGGAGAAGAGGGTGGTTGGGAGAGTAGTGTCGCTAACAGCAACAACTGGTCCAGCCATTGGAAATGCCTGGCAGGATTCAGTAAGCCTGTATACAGGATCAACCTCTCTTACTTTACAATTATTGGTTCGCAGTTTGGAATGTGACTAAGACTTCTCGAGGAGTTCTCTTACTCCTTCAGGAGCCTTCTGTACATGATCTGAGCTGTGCATTTGTTTGGTTGGTTTTTTTTCCTGTTTTCTCCATCAGGTCTTATCACCTGGGAGTTCCTCAGCATTTTTATTCTGGTAACAGCTACCTTTCTTTTTTTTCCAAGACTATGGTGAATTTTTTTTGTCACTTCAGTGTAATAAAAGGATCTTCACCCTAATTGTTTTGAGCCACAGACGTATTATAGATCTTCCTTGACTAATAGTGGGGTTACACCCCTATAAATCCATAGGCAATTGAAAATATCATTAAGTCAAAATGCATGTAATACACCTAACCTACCAAACGTCATAGCTCAGCCTCACCTTCCTTAAACATGCTCAGGGCACTTACATCAGCCGACCATTGGGCAGACTCATCTAACACAAAACCTGTTTTATAATAGTGTTGAATATCTCATGCCGTTCACTGACTACTGCACTGGAAGTGAAGAGCAGGATGGCTGTAAGCGTATTGCCTGTGCACCTTTGTGGCTGCGGGGCTGACTTGGAGCACTGCTCGCTGCCATCACCCCACATCATGAGGGAGTATCCTGTAGCAAATCGCCAGCCCAGGAAAGATCAGAATCCAAAGTACTGCTTCTACTGAATGTATATCGCTTCCACACCACCATCAAGTCGAAATACCATAAGTCAAACCATCGTAAGTCAGGGACCAGCTGCAGTAAGTCTGCAATCTGTATTCCTAGCTCATATCTTGCTCAGGAGTTCCAGACCCATGTATCTCACTGCTTACTGAACAATGCAGGAATATTCCACCAGCCCCAGAAATTAAACAGGTCAGATTCTGACTTTGTTATCTGAGCCCTTTCCCAGTCCAGCCTTGGAGGTTAGGATTCCCTGTCTCATGATCCATCACCCCCTTAACCTACTCCCTCAGACAGGGAACTTGAGGACCAAGCTTAGAGCCTCTTTTCCTTTCTAAGTCTAATCAGTCATCGTGTGATTTAGAATGACCCTCTCCTTTTCTCTCCATAACCATCCTCCTGATCACTTTCCTTCTGATTTGCTACAGTCGTTCTCTCTCTACCGTAACGTATTGCTCACATGTGATGATGTTTATAATCATGAAGTCAGTCATCTCACTCCCAGCTGTCATCCTTTAATAGCTTTAAGTCTCTGCGGGCATCTCTGAGTAGACTCCAGGCCCTCTGTTCTGTCTCCTGTCTTCCTCCCCAAGCATAGTCTTCACCACTGTTACCTGTTTTATTCCCTCACAAGAAACTGCATCTAGTTTTCCTGAGCATGTCATATCTCCTCTCCATATTCCACATTCTTCCCCTTACATCTGCTCCCAGAAATCTTCACTTACTCTGTTCTCCCAGGACTGGCTGTGCATGCGTCCGTTGTAGCACTTAGATGGTATCATTGCCGACCTATCTGTCTTCTTGATAGACTCAAGCTTGTCAAGCACAAGGATTTCTGTTTTCTTCCTTGCATCCCCAGCACTTATTAGATTACCAGTTAAATGCAAATTTAATTAAAATAAAATAAAGTGAAACAAAATGTTATTTGTGCAAGGAGGTGGGATTCACAGCCTTCTGCAGGGTTAGGGCAGGAATACTCTTATTGGCCATGCTTAAAAGCAGAGACATGAGGGGAGAGTATAGCTCAAGTGGTAGAGCGCATGCTTAGCATACACAAGACCCTGGGTTCAATCCCCAGTACCTCTAAAAATAAATAAATAAGTAACCTGAATTGCCTTCCTGCCTAAAATAAATAAATAGATAAAAAGTGCAACACATTTGAAAAAAAAATTTTGGGAAAAAGGCAGAGACAAGACTTCTGTCTTGTGTACCCCCAAGCCCTCTCCCTTCCTGACATTCACTCAAAGAACATGACTATAAGGACAAGACTGAACTTTCCTCCTAGTTACCTTAGGCACTCCAGTTTTGAAAAATCTTAGAAATCTACCCTTTGTTTGTTATCACTGAATTCTCTTTGTTCCCTAGGAGACTTGAGTGAAAATTCTGTGGAGAATCTTCAAGGGAAAGGACTTAGGTATCTATTACATGAAGAGCTTCCCTGCTGGCCAGTTTTGGAAGAGATGGCCAGTACAGTAACTGGGAGTCAGGATTAAATTGTGACTCTTCAAGGGGAGGTGTACAGGAACCCTGAACTAGATCTTTCCACCCATCAAAAGTGGGGAGAAGCATCTCCTTATATTTCTAGAAACAAGAGCAATGTGGTAATCCCTCAAAGTGATGATTTATGAAACATGGAAAGGAGAGAATATTTGTCTTTGAAAGTACCAAACCCAATGGCCACACCAGACTCCTCAGTGACGTCCTGTAAGAATGAGCCCCAGGACCCTCAGGAAAGCAAAAGTCTGTTTGAAGGAAGCACCAAGAGAAAGGTGACAGGCAGAAAGAGTCCTCCCATTGACCACTATTCAGAGAATCTTCAAACCAAACCGGTGTCTGATGTAACAGAAGAGGTCTCGCCGTTGTGCAAAAGTGAGGCAGTTTGCCAGAATGGCCAGTTGAAAGAATCTTCGGATGCCTTGGATGGTAACCGCAAAGACGCTTACGGTTGGAAGTCCCGGGTGGTCGGCCTTAGTCATCAGAGAGCTTGTTCGGAGGAGAAGCCCATCATTACCCAGCATGACTGTGGGAAAATACGCACCACCAGCCCAGATGGTCACCCCAGTGAGAAAATCCACACGGCAGAGAAACTGTACAGGTGTAGTCAGTGTGGTAAGGACTTCAGTGAGCGGTCCGAACTCATCTTTCATCAGAGAGGCCACACAGAAGAAAAGCCCTACAGATGTGATCAGTGCGGGAAGGGCTTCACCCGGAGCTCGAGTCTCCTCATCCATCGCGAAGTCCACGCAGACGAGAAACCTTATAAGTGTGACAAGTGTGGGAAGGGCTTCACAAGGAGTTCAAGTCTACTCATCCACCACTCGGTCCACACAGGCGAGAAGCCTTACAAATGCGACAAGTGCGGGAAGGGCTTCAGCCAGAGCTCCAAGCTGCACATCCACCAGCGAGTGCACACGGGTGAGAAGCCCTATGAGTGCGGGGAGTGCGGTATGAGCTTCAGCCAGCGCTCTAACCTGCACATCCACCAGCGCATCCACACCGGGGAGAGGCCCTACAAATGTGGAGAGTGTGGGAAGGGCTTCAGTCAGAGTTCAAACCTGCACATTCACCGGTGCATACACACGGGGGAGAAGCCTTACCAGTGCTATGAGTGTGGCAAGGGCTTCAGCCAGAGCTCGGACCTCCGCATCCATCTCAGAGTCCACACCGGAGAGAAGCCGTATCACTGCGGCAAGTGCGGGAAGGGATTCAGCCAGAGCTCCAAGCTCCTCATCCACCAGAGAGTCCACACCGGAGAGAAGCCCTACGAGTGCAGCAAGTGTGGGAAGGGCTTCAGCCAGAGCTCCAACCTCCACATCCACCAGCGGGTTCACAGGAAGGATCCCCATTAAATGAGGTCTTCAGTCACATGCTCGTGCTCTGAAGACTTAAATGTTTTTAACATCACTCTTACTTTCATATTCTCAGGAGTAGTAAGAGTTGTTCAGATATGTTCTCTCTCTGAAAAGCATTCATTTAAAGTATTTAAGCATAAGTACCAAGCACTTTGTTATTCTGTACAGTGAATTGATTGTTCTTTTTCCTCATTTGGGTGGAGTGAAAACGTCTGTACTTTGCTGTTCAGCCAGTGTTACCAGAACTCCGTATCCTACCCAGTATTTTCAAGTGCAAGAACCTTATATTTGTCCAAGCAGAACACGTTTTCCTTTGTTCACATTCTCTGAGAAACTGGAACTTTGCTTTCTCTTCAAATCATGTGCCTTGTGTTTTTCATATTTCCTTCCAGCCCTGAGGAGCCCTCTCTAAACTGATGGTACAGTATGTTAGTGTTGGATCCAGTGGGTGGTTGGAGATATAATTGGTATGGAAATCTCTTGTGTTTATCGCACACACGTACTGCAGTCTGTGGCCTCAAAAGAAGGTGGAGAAGAGCTATTCGTGCAGTGCACCCCACACACTTCAGGATGTGGAAAACCCCTCCCACTCTCCCCACAAGGCAGCTGCTCAAGGACATAGTAGTTCTTTTTCCTGGGTGCAGCTTGTCTCCTGGCGTTCTTCCACCTCAGCTGACTCCTGCCCCCTAAACAAACTAAAGCCAGGTAGGGTATATACACCATGTTGAAACATGTCAAATGAAGTTGAAATATATTTAAATATATTTAATTTCTCTCTCAGCACTTACCTCTCTTATTTCCTTAATTTTCTTCACCTCTCATGTTCCATACTAAACAAAACAAAGGAGTCAGGAGCAAAAGTGATCATATTTTTCTCTTTGGGCTTATCTCCTGTTTTAATATTTGATAGACCCAAAAACAGTCATTTGTTTTTGCAGCGTTGTTACCGAGTTGAACTGGGGTCCCCTCGCCTGTGCACACTAAAGGCCATCTACCGACACCAGGTTGCAGTGAAGGAAAGTGCAGTGTCTATTGCAGGGCCCCAGGCACGGAGCCCAGGTAGCCAGTGCTCAAAAGGCCTGAATTCCCTGATGGATTTCAGGGAAAGGTTTTTAAAGACAGAGTGACGGAGGAGGGTTGGGTGTGTGATCAGCTCGTGGACAGTGCTCTGATTGGTTGGTGGTGAGGTAATCGGGAGTCAACGTCACCAACCTTCTGGCTCCAAGCAGTCTAGGGTCTCTGTGCTTGTGAGCAGCATGCAGTTAGCTTCTTCCACCTGGTGGGGGTTTGGGTATCTGCAAAACAGCTCAAAGAATATGGCTTAGAATATTATCTATAGCCCTTGAGGAGGAACTAAAGGTCCTCGACTTTGTTCAGTGGCTAAACTATTATTTTTTTGTCTTGCTGGGCTGGTTTCCATTCTTTCTGCATTTTCTCACTTTGTAACTCGGGGAAGGCCTAGGAGAGTAAAGTTTTTCTACAGACAAGAAGTAGGCAGAGGACATGGTGAGGGTCGGGGGTCTGTTCCGGGAAGGCCCTGTGGGGTCCTGCCTGATTTCAGCATCCCTTTAGACCTATAGACATCTGATGCATATTTATAAAACCTTTTAAATACTTGTCTAAAAGTACTTAAAATAAAAATAGCTATCTAAAAAAAAATTTTTAATCATATTTGGGAAGTATTTGGGGGATGACCAGGCTTAAAATATGCACTGTATCATGTATAATTCACTTGGGGTATAAAGCTAGGACACCTCAAAGAATTAGGTGTTCATCCCCTAGAAGTTAAGAAGCTGGTGCAACAGTTGAGAGAAAAATGAGTGCAAATACATAACTAAAGTGAAAGTTACTATACAGTGAGCTCCTAATTGCAGCCTTGATCCCCCATGCAGTGCTCAGGGGGCTCCAATGATTAGTATCCATTCATGAAAAATGGTAGGGGAAATATGGATGCTTTATTTATTAGCTTGAGAAGGTGGGGTTGTAGCTGGCACATCCTAATCAAAGGTACCCTGAAGCAGTTAACTGGACCTAGATAACAGGGAAGGTACACATTAACTTAGAGGAAACATAGTTAATCTCTAATAAGGAGTGAAGGTGTGTGACAGATTAAGACTTGCCTTCCTTCAAGAGGTAGCCCCAGAACATTTGACTCCAACCACAAGCAGTCCCCATGGAATGATTAGGGTGGTGACTGAGCACCTGTCCTTTGACATTACAGAATACCCTCGCTTGTTAGGATGCTGTAAGATGGTGTCACAGGTGGTACGATTCTTCAGTGATCTCTAGAATGATGAATGCCTCCAAGTTCCTCCTGCCCTCACAGAATTGTATCTGAGCCTCTGTTCTGGATTTGGCTTTTTTCTGTTTGTCACATATGTCTTCTGTTTCCCTGATGGATATACTCTGGGATTTGGAGCCAAATAAAACACAAGAACCCATGTGCAGTGAGGCCAGAGGGTAGATCTGAAGTCCAAGTTTCAAATGGGTATAAATTAGCCAATTTTTCCAAGTCTCCTTTGACAGATATCTTAAGTTACAAGTATTTTTACTTACGTTTAGCTTTTACTGTTCTCTTTTAAGCATTACCTTCTTTTATACAATTGAAATGTGATCAGAGTCCTTGGAAAGCATTGCACTGGTTATAGGAAGGGGACAAAAATAGAAGAAGGACTTGTGCATAAAAGTGCAGGGAGAACAATGGGACATGTCACGTTTCATCAGATCCTAAAATGCCACAGATTGAGAAAAAGAAAACAATTAATTAACTTTTAAGACATACCTCAATTTCAGAGATGTTGAAGGGAAAAAAAAAAAGGTGCATTGCAAAATGGACCCTTTTCAGACTTTAAGGGTTGCCCTAGGCTTGATCCTTTACCAGTCCTTGACCAAAGACCTTTGGAAATTCTCAGTAATTGTCAATTGTATTCAGTTGATAATTCTGTCACTCATTTAGCAACAACTTTGGGTTACAGATTATTTGTTGAGTACTTGAGATTTTACAATTCTTAAAATTCTCACCTATTCCATGGGTGCTATATAATTTCTATATGGATTGTTTAAGATCTTAAGATCAAAATACTGGTGAATATGTGGTCACTACTTGTAGTCACACTTCCAAATTATAATCTTTTGTTCCTTCCTCATCCCCCATCCTAACAGCCAGAGTTAGAGGATAAAGAAAAATACGGAAGTTCACCTTTACACTCCATGACCTTCCATCTCATTGTACTTTCACTGGGGAGAAAGGGTCATAACTGAGCACGGAGTGCAAGTCTGACCCAAGTAATGAGAGCCAGGGAAAGTCCAAAGCAACATGCCCGAACTAGTTGCAAGAGTAAAACTGGCTTTGGGTTGGTACCTGAGAGCAGGTGATACCAACAAGAAGGTTCAAGAGGTAGAGCTGGGAAAAGCTAATACTTAGGGAACATGTGGCAACTGATCAGCAGAAATCATCTCAGGGTTTGGACAGCTAATCAAAATGGCTAGTAGAGAAAGGTTTAAGAACGTGCTTTTGTTAAGCATCTCTCTGGACAACATTAAAATGCTAGAAAGGATTTTTTTTTACATATATAAAACCACAGTAATAAAGGGAACAAGAGAAAAACCATCAGTAAACAGGCAGTCTCAACAAAAATTTGGAAGGCAGAAAGAGGATAGCTGTTGTATCAGAGCAGAAGCAGGCACTAAACATACTGGGGCGTTGAGGAGAAGGACAAGACAGAACCAGTTTGGCTTCAGGCTCAGAAATGCGTAATACTGTGAAGGACAGGAGACACATAAAGCAAAAGCAGTGTGATTAATGGCCAGTTGAATATGAGACATTCCCCTCATTCCATACGCATGTGCTCTCCTCCCAACCCCTGTGCACTGTAAACTGGGGAATTATCCTCCAGCAAGAGATGGGAAATTTCTTCTCTGAAGAAATTGAATGGCCCCAAGGGACAGAACTGTATTCTGGCTTTTGTGGATCCAACAGTAAAGCAGTTATCTTCCAGCTTCAATACACTTGTAACAGAGCTTCAAAATTCATGATGTAAAACCTGATAAAAATTTGAAATAGATATAGGCAAATTATCAATTATAGTTACATATTTCAACCCTCCACATACTCATGGGGCAAGTCTCAGCATGTGCCACGCATAGGCAGGACCTGGGTTTGGGCCAACTGGGCTGGGTCTGAAGGTCCGAGCAATCTTACTATTAAGGTCCGTGGCCTTACCGGCTCCAAAGAGAAAAGACACAGAGACGTAGACATGGGAAGGGAGGATGCCATGTGACAGCAGCATTGAAGACTGGAGCAGCTGCAAGCCAAGGAGCACCAAGGATGGACAGCCACGACCAGAAGCTAAGAGAAAGGCTTGGAATAGATTCTCCCCTAGAGCCTTCAGAGACAGCGTGACAATGGTGACATCTTGATTTCAGACTTCTAGCCCCTAGAACTAGAAGAAAACATTACTTTAAGCCACCCCAGTTTTAGTACTTTGTTACTGCAGCCCTGAGAAATGAATACAAAAGTTGTCCTGAGACAATCAACTTATACATTTGGGGAGAAAAAAAAAAACACTAAGGCAGATCATTACTCTATATCATAAAATATAAATATATTCCAGATAGATTAAAAATCCAAACATGAAAAGCAAAACTTCAGCCTTTTGGAAGAAAATGTAGAATATCTCTGTAACTTCAGTGTAGAAAAGAATTTCTTGAACAAAACACAAAAAGTAAAAAGACCTAAGATAAGATGGATGTATTTGCATTAAAGCTGAAAGCTTCTGTGAAATATAAGGCAGCATAAATAAAAGATAAGCCATAGACTAGGAGAAAGTATCTGTAATGGAATATAGTCAACAAATAAATGTACAGATTATATAAAGAAATCCTAGGAATGAAAGGACAAGTGATCTAGTAAAAATACAGGCAAAGGATATGAACAGGCAATTCACAGAACTGAAAACAGATGGTCAATGGATAAAAAAATGGATTAAAAATTGTGATAAATTCGGACAATGGGACACTATGCATAATTAAATCAGTTCTTTATTTACCAACATGGACAGATCTCAAAATACTACATGAAATGCAAGTTGCAATTTAAAACATTTGTGTACAAAAGACAAAGCAATACTATGTATTATTTATGGATACATATGTGTATTCAAAAATTAAAAACATGAACTGGAAAGCTACCACATTCATCATGTTTGCCTCTGGAAAGGGAGGAAAATAGGACCAAGTATAAGATCCAGACTGAAGAAGGGAACCAAGGGAACTTGAATTTCATCTGTCATATTCTATTTATTTCATTAAAATGAAATTTAAAGACAAAATGTTAAATTGACTAAATCAGTGGTAAAT